CGTGCTGCACTGCGTATGACCGCTAACTCTGGAACGTGGACTGGTCTATGTAACTTTGGGGGTGTTAACATCCCAGATCATACGTAACTTCTAGCACTTCTGGGTATTCGCCTGTTTTGTTGGGGTATTTTGGGTGCCCGAGATATGCAATATAACGAGGAAACAATGGAGATCAAGGCTCACGCTATGTCAGTTACATGCACTGAACTCTTTTTATTCAATGCTATGGGAAGGGAAATACAGGTTTCTATTCTACAGCACCTTTAACAGAACCTAATGCAGTAAGGATGGGGCATTCTGTGTTGCTTTTAGATCTCCTGTAGATCAACTTTTCTCATTTAATATAATCCCTGCTGAGTCAGCACACATGCAGGCATGACTTAATCTCCCCTCCTGTTTTGTGCCTTTGTTCAACCCGTTCTCACCCGATGACACCCAATTCGTCACAAACTGACATGTGTCCATATGTGACAAATTGGGTGTCATCTGCGTCAGTTTGTAACACACTGGGGATCCCTATAGCGTCATAGTTCAACAGACCATACACTGTACACTGCATCAAACTGATCTGCATGGCTCTCTTCCCAGAAGGAAGCCTCTTCTAAAGATGATGCACAAGAAAGCCCGCAAACTGTTTGCTGAAGACAAGCAGACTAAGAACATGTCCTGGGTTCTTATCAGACCAAGATAAACTTGTTTGGTTTGTGTCCAGCGTGTGTGGCGGCAACCAGGTGAGGAGTACAAAGACAAGTGTGTCTTGTCTACAGTCAAGCATGGTGATGGGAGTGTCATGGTCTGGGGCTGCATGAGTGCTGCCGGCCCTGGGGAGCTACAGTTCATTGAGGGAACCGTAAATGCCACCATATACCTGTGACATACTGAAGCAGAGCATGATCCCCTTCGTTCAGAGACTGGGCCGCAGGGCAGTATTCCAACATGATAACGACCCAAACACAACTCCAAGACGACCAAGAAGCTGAGGGTAAAGGTGATGGACTGGTCAAGCATGTCTCCAGACCTGAACCCTACTGAGCATCTGTGGGGCATCTTCAAATGGAAGGTGGAGGAGCACAAGGTGTCTAACATCCACCAGCTCTGTGATGTCATCATGGAGGAGTGGAAGAGGACTCCAGTGGCAACCTGTGAAGCTCTGGTGAACTCCATGCACAAGAGAGTTAAGCGAAAGAGGGTTGAGCGAAATTGCAATGTTTCAAAACTTTAAAGCGTTTTGTTTTGAAAGTGTAATCGGACTGTGCATATTTATTGTTGCTAAGCATTGCTAACATGACCACGGAGCCCTTAATGTCTAAAAATTATGCTGAAGGCGTACCCATGGTGTTAAAAAGTGCTAAAGGACCTTGACCAAGCGTCAATATGTGACGAGTCGGGAATGAGAATGTGTTGCTTTGTTTGGGGAAATAACCTCTTTAAATGTGCATGTGGCACCTTTTCACCTCAATGGTAAATTAATTCTCTTTATTTCAGTTAGAAACTCCTGTCTTTCAGCACGTTTTCTGCTCATGTTCAATACTTTCTGCACATTCAGAATCTCTCCCACGTATCTGTTTTCTCTAACATTTCTGGAAAAAAGTCAGAATATTACGAGTGTAACGTCATCTTTTAATGAGAATTCATAATATTTTTTAAGTCTACCTGCCCTAGACATCAAGCATAGCGTTAGTTCAGGCAGGCAACAATGTCAAGCTCCTCTCATAATCCCAGCACATCAGCTGATAGCAACAACATCTTAAATACAGCCACAGAAATCAGCTGACAGCTCAGCCATCAGCGTTAGTTATTAATGGTGGATGCAAACAGGCTACAGGTTTATTGTTGATCATGTAAAGTTACAGTTTTATTTAGTTATAACATTACACTGGTTTGACAGTCTGGGGTGTGTGTTGACTTACAGTAGTTTATAAGCTGTCATTAGCTGTAGACGTATTGTTCATTAGGATACATGGTTGTGCTCTGTGAAAAACATGTTACAGGTTTATTGTTGATCAAGTAACATTACAGTTTTATTTAGTTAGCGTTACACTGGTTTGAGAGTCTGCGGGATGTGTTGACTTACAGTAGGCTAGTTAATAAGCTGTCATTAATTGCACATTGCAATGGCATTGCACATTACATGGTTGTGCTCGGTAAGTGAAAAACAGGTTACAGTTAAAGAATTCCTTGTAGCTATGCAGTATTATAAGCAGCCTGTACTGAATGCAGCAGGTGATACAAACATTCATAATAACCACGAGAGACTTGAGACTTGACTTGGACTCTAGCTCAGTGACTTGTGAGCATCTCTAGCCGCTTTCACACAGAGATTCAGCAATAAACGTGGAAAGAATGTCCGCCAATATGCCACATTCACTCATTCATACTGAACAAAATATATATCCTACGCCACAGCTTCCGGAGCTCATCTGGTCAATTTTCAAAATAAAATACCCTGTGCAGATTCACGGTCAAAACAGATAAACAAATAAGAAACCATTTAACTACATAGCCGACTTAATCATAGTAGAAGCACAAAAGCAAACACTGATTATCAAATCAATAAAATCTAAACATGTCAGCAAAATCGGGCAGGCAAAATGCTCCTATTCTGAAATGCTCCCTGTGGATATGCAGCCTAACAAACAAAACGGGAGCAAAAAGAGCTGTGGAGAAGGTAGTAGAAGCACAAAAATGACAAATGAACAACAAGTCAATGCTGAGACACTTCCAGTGCACACTGATGCCGGGCTGGGGACCAAACAAAGCCGTGGCGCAGCTGTAGTTGGTGGATTTACACCGATAAAATAAGACCGTGACTGGTAACACAACAGCTTGAAACGCGACTCCTGTTCCGGCATGCCGGCTGTGGTTTTTCACACAGACATTGTTCCGCCTCTGTTACTACCAACATTCCCGGCTCAGAGGCGGATCAAATCTGAAAGCCCTTTCCGGCTTGTACCTTTCACACAGCGAAGCGAGCCGCCGTTATAATCCCGGAAAACTGGGCAGTGTGAAAGCGCCTTCTGCTATAGCCTGCCTGCCCTTGCTGCATCCTCTGCAAGCAATTTGCAACCCGCCGCCACCCCATCTTCTCTTTTTAGTCCGTATCTGATTAATCATGTTATTCTGTATTAATGCCTGCTCTGTTCTGTACCCTGGGGGGTCTTTACTGCTGCTCTCTGCCTCGCTTTCCACTTAGCCACTTAGCCATGGAAGGACAGGGAGATCCCAGAACAGAGCCATACCGCCAGATATAACTTACAAATGTTCAATATATTGTCAATAAATATTTGATCAAATTAATTTAATCACAAATGAATTAGCACTTAATTTTTCTATTAAGATATTTATTTTGTTGAGGCAAAGGGACTGAAAAAAGATTTACTAATCATATTTTTTGAAAAAAGATTTTACCATAATGTTCTACCTCAGATTAGTGAAGATCCACTGTTTGGCATCAAATGTTTTGACCATAAAGAAAAGTTTAACCACACAAATAACCATCTGGTTTCTTTAGTTTTCATTCAGAAGCAAAAATCAGCCTTTAAACTTGAAAGGAATAATGATTTCACTTTTATCGTGATAATTATTGATAAATGGTGTGAAATGTTTATTTCGTGATAACATTTGTGGCCCTATCGCCCACAACACGTTAAATTCAGCACCTCCGATAATAGGTAGCTCACAGTCCAAAACAGAGCAAGTTTGTACCTCAGTTTTTAGATATTTGAGATAGTTTGTTTGTTGATAGTTGATTCCCTCCACAAGTCGATGTTATACATTTGTTTTTCACTGTGTGAAAAGATTGATGTGTGGCTTGATATTATGTGGAAAATGTCAATTGTGTGAGTCTCGGAGATGTTAGGACTGTGGATTTGTGTTCATGTTTTTCCTGTGTTTAGTCTGTCATAGTTTTGGGTTATGTTTTAGTTTTATCTTTTTTCCCTGAGTGTTTCTTATGTTTGCCATTGTTTCATGTGTCTCTCTATTTGCCTCTGTTTCCCTCCTTCCTTGTCCTTAGTTGTTTATGTCTTGTCCGTCATTGAGTATTGTTGCTTGTTTTATTTTGTTATCATCAATGTCTGGTGTTCACGTTTAGCTTTGTTCTTGTTCTGTTAGTTTATTATGGTCTTGTCTATTCAATATTAGTTTATAACCTCTACCTGGGTTTTGTACTTTTGTTTATGGATCTGTGTCTGCTTGTGTTTTTAGTCATTTTGGTTTATTCTTTATTCTTTTCTGTTCTGTTTTAGTTTCTGTTTGCCTTGCTGTTTCACTCTTTCCTGTTTCACTGTGTGTCTGCTTAGCCTAATTAGCTGCTCATGTCATTCAGCTGTGCACTCCCTCCTTGCTCATTTGCCTGTGTATTCTTCAGTTCTTGGTGATGTCCTTGTCTTATGGTGAGTGTTCTGTTCTGCAGCTGTTCTTAAGATTTCTCTGCCTGTGCTCTTGATTACTTTTGTTGGATTTACCTCTGTTCTGCATTGTGCTCGCATGTAAGCCTGTTTGTTTTCGCATTATTAAATCTTTATATAAAATTTTTAAACTGCAACCTCCTTGCCTGTTGTCTGCATTTGGATCTGCACTCAGCCATCGTTGACAGGAGACAGCTTTTAACCTGACAAGAAATCTTGTCACATTTTTTATCTCGCGAGATCTCATGACACAAGATCTTGTCACACCCCTAATTGACACATTCAGTTAACTATTCTCCCTTGACAAGGAGCGAGTGATTCTACTTGACTGTACAGAGTAAGTGATTCTGTCCATCTAATATGATATATATTTTACTGCATAAAGCCCTTGGTGAAGCTGGTTATTAAATGTACTAAAGAAATAAACCTGAGTAATGATCCAAGTTTGTGTCATCATTTTGTGAACATGTTGTTGTGGGTTATTACTGTATAAATTTTCCTTTTGTCAGATGCAAGCCAGCTGTTGGGTCATCGATTACAGTATAAATCATGCCCTTATCATCTGTGGTTGTATGTGTTGTTCTTCCTCAGGTGGTGTTTAGTAGATTCTGCAGCCCCTGTGACATAAAGGAGCTCTTCTGTACAGCCCTAGGTGTGCCAAGGTGAAACACACACACTCACACATTCATAGCTCTGTTAATTCTGTCACAATTAGTAGTCTGCAAACAGCAGTGTGATAATTACTTCCCATAGTTTTTGTTTCACTTGACATTTAATACCACTGATATGGGATTAATAAAGTACATAGTGAAATGTTTTTCAGTGCTGCTATATATTTAATTATGTTTTCACACAGTACACTGTAAATGATCTGAATCATAACTTCAATATAGGTGACACAAAGTAAATGCTCTGCTGTATTGTTATAGACAGTTGTCTATAACAACAGTTGTGATTTTCTATTTACAGCATTAGTACTTTACAAGCAGGGAGGTGAACTGGTCAACTTGCAAACTGAAAAAGAGAGATCTGGAAATGCCATATAACAGATCAATTGGTGCTTTTTATAGCTTTAGAAATCCTTGATGAAATTTTAACAAATATTCACAATAAACCATATCCAGTTATCCTGTTCAAGTTATGAGCTGCTTTGGAGAGACGCCTGTTTGCTCACTCTTCCATTCATTGTTTGTGCTTTTCACAAGTGCAAAACTAATAAGAATTTAATCTTTATTTTCTGACGGGGAGTAAAGCCATTCTTGGGGGATGATGGGGAACTTTAACTTGATGCATATTTATACCATATTATACATTTAATATTATACATTTTGTAAATGTACTTTTGATGACTTTTGTTTTGATTTTAATAATTTTACTAGTGAGTGAAGCTGAAGTTTGCACACATCTGGACATCGGTCAGCATCTTTTTAAGTTGTGTCTGTGCTTCTTAAGTAGGGGGGAGTAATGTTGTGTCTCTTTACACTCACTCTTAATGCAAAGTAAGAGGTCTCAATATTACATGTATAGCAACATATAAACAAAACAAACAAGTGAAAAGTGTGCAACAAGACCTGTTACTGTTTTACATCTGCCCTTTGAGTCTGAAGTAGTGTTGTCAAAGAGTTTTTGATACATATTGATTCTGAATATTTAAATGGTTTTAATACTCATTATCTGCAGTATCGATACAGAAAATGCACTTTCTTACAACTGACTTCACACACCACAGCAGTGCCTATATCGCCCGACTCCTCTCACTCAATATGTTTTTGTTTTTTTCACTGCCTTTTTGACAAGTCCCTACTGTGCCGTGATTGGCTAGTACCCGTTATTTGTGATTGGATGCTGGTAAAGGATACAAGCAAGCCTATATACAAGTGATGGGACAGAGCAGTGCTAACGAAAGGTGCTAACAACACCAACTGAGCAAAGGACACACAGGACCGACTCGTTCTCTATAAAGAACCTCGAGAGATTGCAGACATCTCCTCTCTCAACATCACTAATTAAACAAGATGGACCAGTAAACTGTTGTTTATAAGCTAGTTGTACTATTGTGGACCCAACAGAAATTTGTTATTCTCAAAACTAAGCCAATCCCCCTCAGAGCTATCGGACCTGAGGAACCTCGGGCAGCAGAGCTTCAGTTGATAGGAAAAAACTTTGACTAAGATCAGAAGTAAATTAACTGATGCTGTTCTGCTTAACACACAGTACAATTAACTTTACTTAATTTCTAAGTTTATAAGATAAATTAGTCATTTAATACAGTAACTTAATCAGTGTGTCTACACACAGGGCCAGATTTACTAAAGGTTTGCATGAGTAAAAATGTGTGCAAACTTGATATCACCAGCAAATTAACATGTTAGCTGATCTATTAACGGTGTGCAGGGAGAATGACGTCTTTCAAAAGTGCAAAATAGCACCTGTTGCTCATTAACTACTTTTGCCTTAATGAATATGCAGTTTGGGGCGTTTCATTGTTATTGTGCAAAGTAATGGGAGGGTAACATGCAAATACATTTATTTACTACACGCAATGTGATCTACCAAGCCTAAACGGAATTTCATGTGAGTGCAACAGCATCTGTATTTAACACGTTTGAAGGGAAGGTTCAAACCACCGAGTGTTGTGCAGAGATGGCTGCTGTTGTTGTTGCCAGGTGGAGACACAACCGTAATGAAAGAAAACAAAGAGAAATTAACAATATTAGATAATATTATTCTATATCCAATGTTTAGAAATACAATTATTTTATTATTTGATGAACTATATTAATTGTATTTTTTTTTTTGTATTTTCCTTTAGCTTTGGCAATACTGTTGTATTAACATTCATGCCAATAAAGCAAATTTCGTTTTTCTTCGTGGCGCTGCGGAGAGCCCCCAGCTGCAGTAGTGCATGGATCACGCGTGAAATTCATCCACGATCACCAACTGTTCACAGCGCGCCAGTCGTAATAGCGACAGAACCCATTGTAGGTATCGGAGAGGGAATGGGGCGTTGGGGCGTACGGGGCCAGGGACAAGAGATCGCAGGGCGACCAAGCACGGTGCGGACGGTCGGTGGTTGTTCCATTTGGCTGGATGAATCACGATGGCATTTCCTCGCGTCTGGGTTATTCCAGCATACTGTAGCTGTTTCTGCTGGGGTTTCTCAAAGCAGTTTTTCAGGAGTGCTGTCCCAAGTACTTAGTGCAATCTCAGGCAGGATGGGCAGGTACATACGATTTCCACATACTCGGGACGCACTGAATGAAACAAACCAAGGTTTTTACGCTGTGGCTGCTTTCCCTCCTGACTCTCCATGGCAGAAACCATTAAAACATGCAAAACACTCATTTAAATACCTCCGTTGTGTTTGCTCCTGTTGTCATCATCACCCATAACAGGTACTAGAATTCCACGTGCAATATTTTAAAATGCACATACAATTTAGTCTTTATTTGGGTTGTTAGTAAATCGGGCCCACAGTGTAGTGTAACAGTGTTTTAATGGACACACACACTTACTAAAGAGCCTACATAGAAAAGTTTAAAATGTTTAACACAACTATATATTTTTTTTATATTTCAGCAGTTGTATACCCATGAAAAAGCTTATGAAAACCCCAAATTCAAAATCTCAGAAAATTAGAATATTGTGAAAAGGTTCAGTATTGTATGCTCAAAGTGTCACACTCTAATCAGCTAATTAATCCAAAACACCTGCAAAGGGTTCCTGAGCCTTTAATTGGTCTCTCAGTCTGGTTCAGTGGAATTCACAATCATGGGGAAGACTGCTGAGCTGACAGTTGTGCAGAAAACCATCATTGACACCCTCCACAAGGAGGGAAAGCCTCAAAAGGTAACTGCAAAAGAAGTTGGATGTTCTCAAAGTGCTGTATCAAGGCACATTAATAGAAAGTTAAGTGGAAGGGAAAGGTGTGGAAGAAAAAGGTGCACAAGCAGCAGGGATGACCGTAGCCTGGAGAGGATTGTCAGGAAAAGGCTGTTCAAATGTGTGGGGGAGCTTCACAAGGAGTGGACTGAGGCTGGAGTTACTGCATCAAGAGCCCCCACACGCAGACGGGTCCTAGACACGGGCTTCAAATCAAGCCGCTCCTGAACAACAAACAACGTCAGAAGAAAAAAGAACTGGTCTGTTTCTCAGTGGTCCAAAGTCCTCTTTTCTGATGAGAGCTAATTTTGCATCTCATTTGGAAACCAAGGTCCCAGAGTCTGGAGGAAGAATGGAGAGGCACACACTCCAAGATGCTTGAAGTCCAGTGTGAAGTTTCCACAGTCTGTGTTGGTTTGGGGTGCCATGTCATCTGCTGGTGTTGGTCCACTGTGCTCTATTAAGTCCAGAGTCAGCACGGCCGTCTACCAGGATATTTTAGAGCACTTTATGCTTCCTTCAGCAGATGAGCTTTATGGAGATGCTGGCTTCATTTTCCAGCAGGACTTGGCACCTGCCCACACTGCCAGAAGTACCAAAACCTGATTCAATGACCATGGGATTACTGTGCTTGATTGGCCAGCAAACTCGCCTGACCTGAAGCCCATAGAGAATCTATCAAGACATGAGAGCGAACAATGCAGAAGAGCTGAAGGCCGCTAAGCATCCTGGTCTTCCATAACACCTCAGCAGTGCCACAGGTTGATAGCATCCATGCTACACCGCATTGAAGCAGTAATTCAAAATATTTTTCACCTTTTAAGTTGAATTTACTGAAATAAATGAACTTTTGCACGATATGCAAATTTTTTGAGTTTCACCTGTAAATGTGAGATTCTTTGAAACAGACTTCCATCCAAACTTCCATCTCCCCTTTAATGTTATGTTATTAAACCTGCGTTATCATTACCTACTCTCACCAGTTCTTCCAAGAAGCCAGTCTGTTTTATCATTAGTTACAAGTTCTTGAGAAACTCCATCCTTGTGTAACTTCAGTTTTGTTTTTGCAGTAGAGGCAGACATTATTACCTATGATCCCTGGAGGTGGAATTAATCTTATTTTTGTACCCATACAACATCTTTATTCAGCGTTCTTCTCAAGGTCACATCAACTGTGTGGATGGATGTTGTACTACATTGGAAGATATGAACTGGACCCAAAATTTCTAACCCACCCTTCTACCTATTAGCAGTGCTAGCACCAGTCCCAGCAGCAAGTCTATGTTTAATGAGCTATATGCAACACAGCCTCACGTTCATGTAGCCAAACAGATGACCTCCAGTAAAACTTTAATGTGTTTTTTTGTTTTCATGCAGGAACACAAATCTTTCTCTGTTGGATTCGTCCGGAGCCATGGTATCCATCGACCCCACCATGCCACACAACACAGAGAGGTATTGGAAAACCTGCATCCTACTGATGTCTTTATTGATAAATTGAACATTTCTTCTGTCCACAGCTGGCTGTTTGATTGAAAGACACATTTACTGATTGAGCTGCAATGAAATGTGAACTGTACCTTTGCATTAGAAGTCACACAACTGTAAGTGACACAACAGTAAATATGATGAATGAACAAATGACAGAAGGAATACACACTACATAGATGAGAAAACAGTCAGGGAATGAACACAAGAGGAAAGCTTAACAACATAACCACAAGAAATACCAAACACCAAAAGATTTCTTTAGCAATGGGGGGACAATTGCATGCTTACAGCTGTAAGGAGGCCATATAATTGTTAGAAATGTGTGAGAGGCTAACAGTGGAAAATGCCTCCTTGAGCTGCTTAGTGGGGATATTTACAAGATACAAGATTGATTTATTTACTTTGGGCTCTGCGTAGACCCCTCACTGATATCACTGATGCTCAGGAGATGGGTACCAATGATCTTCTGAGCAGTTTTAATCCCCCACTGCAGAGCCCTCCGGTCCTGGGCTGTGCACATCCCATGTTAGTGATGTTTTGATGATGGTGGTGGTGTCGTCCGCAAACTTCACAACAGAGTTCTCTCCATGTCAGGGGATGCAGTCGTGGGTGTCCAGCGTGAACAGGAGGGGGCTGAGCACACAGTGTTGAGCACTAGAGTGGAGGAGTTGAGTCCGCCAATCCAAACTGACTGGAGTCTGTTTGTGAGGAAGTCCAATATCCAGTTGCAGAGTGTCGTATTTAAATCCAGAGTGCTGAGTTTGCTGATCAGTTTGATGGGGAGATTGTGTTGAATACTGCAGCATTCTGTAGGTTGTTTTTCTCAAGGTGTGTGAGGGCTGAGTGGAGGGCAGTGGAGATGGCATCCTCTGTGGATCTGTTGGTTCTGAAAGCAAACTAGTGAGGGTCCAGGCTGGCTGGGATGTTGTTCTTTATGTGCTGAAGAACCAGTTTCTCAGAGCACTTCATCAAAACGGGGGTGAGAGCCACAGGGCGGTAGTCGTTCAGACTGGACACTGCAGACCTTTTAGGTCCAGGAACGATGGTGGCTGTCTTGAAGAGTTGGGGATCAACCCTAACCCTTAATAATAATAATAATAATAATAATAATAATCCTTATTTGTAGAGCACTTTTCAAAAACAAGTTACAAAGTGCTTTAACAAGTGTAAAGAATAATACAAAAAAACAAGATAGATAAAAAAAACAAGATAAATACAAAAAAACAAGATAGCAATGCTGGCAAGGACGTGGCGGGGGACCAGCTGCAAAAGGGAAGTGGACTGCGGGGCCCTCGATGCAGCCCCCTAACTTCTGCCAATGTCTGGGACCCAGCCAACCAGAGCTCTCCGACAGCCCCTTACACGGCAGCATGGTTGGCTTTGGGTGCAGATCCGTGGGTCATTTCCACCATGATCCATGGTTACCGGATACATTTTCACTGCAGACTGCCTGCAATGAGGTCCCCCACCTTTAAAGATAAAGACCCTCATCACACAGAGGTACTGCAGGCCAAGATATCCACCCTCTTGGCTAGCTTTCCGGACTTTCACCTGCTGCTTGGATGCGGTCATTGAACCTCGACAATTGGTTGGTTTGAGCAGCCTTGGGGAAGCTATGCCGCTATCATGTGGCTTTGTTCCTGGAGCACATTTGGAGCTTGGCCTGTGCCTGAACGACAAAAACAGCGAGCTCCAGCCCTCCCAGGTGACAACATTTCTGGGCAGGGTTCTGGTTTCTGCTCTCTGAGTGGTACATGGGCCAGGGCTGTTGAACTCAGCAGTGGACATCATGTCAGGGATGGACTGGGAGCAAAAAATTGATCCACTTTGATCCAGACCGGCCAGAACAGTCCACTGAATATTCCACCACAGCCACCCTGCTAATGCACGCACGTATAAACAGGACCAGCCTCTAATAAACCACCTAGCAGCATCACAGCCATTGATCACTATGGCAGTAGGCTACAACTTTAAAAAGGCATGGCCTTAACCAGCTTTGAGGTCACCGAGGTCCGGACCTTCGTAATTATATGTAAACTATAGCCTATTAATAAAACAAATTTGAATAAAAACCATTGATAACAACAAGCTCAACTTAAATTAAAGCTGCAAGCAGCGTTGGGCGGGCCCTCGCACTTGTAAGCGCGTCCGCGCGTGAGCCGGCCGAGTTGCATATTCTGGAGCTCTGCCGGTGCGGCTGTGAATTTCCTACGCGGTTCCGACGCCGCATGAAGGTGTTATATGTCACTTCCTGTGTCCCCTATGTGGAGCTACATAGCACTTGCCGCTATGAATATAAATTGGTATTGACGTGTAGATGTCTGCGGGGTGGGAGAGTTATCAAGCACGTAAAGTTTGTTTCAGATGTGAGCATGTACACTGAACAATAATGTACCCAAACAATAAATAAATTCCTTTTATATTTCCCTGCCTTGTTGTTTATGTGTACATACAGAGGAAGAATGTGAGAACAGCAAACATTTCATCGTTACTGTGTGTTAGAGCATGGGAGAACAGTGGATACTTTTAATACAGCCCACACCCCTAATACTGTGTAACTATAACAAGTAGAGAACAGAAGAAAAAGATGTTCTTTCTTTACAACTGTCTGCATAGCTTATTCATATTGTGTAATGAATGAAAATAAATAGGCCTACTAGGCTCCTCTCTACTTTGACATTTAAGATTAGCTTGTTTGATCCACCTTCATACACATGTGACATTACTGTACAACTTGAGAAAGGTGAGTTGTTTTCTGCTCCAGCCTGCCTAAAAGAAAAGCGTTTTTGGGATTAAATGGACTTTATTAGCTGCTGCAGTGCAGGATGAACTCAGAATAGACCCATTTCTCACCTTATTATTCTAAATCATGCAACAAGAAGAAGAAATGCATAATAAATCCTGTCCACAAATACTGTTCAGCATGTAGTATGATGAACAGACTTGTGTTATAGCTGACTTGGGCAGTGAAATGTTTAATTTTTTTAATTCATGTGGTCATAGTTGTCCACAACTCAAATCAGAATATAAGAAGAAATGTTTTATACCACCTCAAGAAGGCTTCCTATCAGAAAGGTAGGAAGGTATTTCAAATGTACAACTGCAGTACTTAAATCTAAGTAAAGTAATTTCCCTGACATTTTTGTGTTACTTTACTTTTAATAGACGCATGTAACAGGTTTTATACTTCCTGTGAGTATAATCCAATCAATCTTATTTTCATACTGTATATCCGTTGTGTAATTTGATAAATTGTGTTGTATGTGGTGCTCGCATCGGGTACTACTGAGACTTCATTGCCCTCTTCAGAGAAGACTCTGACTGCAACGTGCGTCTTTGTAAAGAGAGAAACGGACAGAAAAAGTCTCTAACTCTGCCTGTCAGCTCGCTCTGCTCCGTTAAAACTGAATTTACCATACAGAATTGAATACGAGTGCACTCCAGATTTAGCGGCAGCCAGCTGACCGTGTGCTTCTCCCTATACCACAGTTCTGTGTCCATGCATGCAGCAAACTGAAAGCACTGTCTGTCGGAGCGTCTACGTGAAAAGAGAAGGAAGACATTGCTGGTAGTATTGTCTTCAGAGTTGTTAAACACCTCAGCGCACTGAAGGAAGCCATCTGACTGTGTGAGGGGCAAGATCGTTGATGTCTGCAGGCAGAGTAGGCCTAGAGCTCTCCTGTCTGACTGGTCCACCAATAGCAGAGAAGATGACCCCTTGAGACACAGCCCCTCCTCATTTGCATAATGAGGCAGAAATGCATACAAAAATTTAAAAAAGATAGGCAGAAATAAATACCATGGCTGAAAATAAATAAGGTAAATAATACAAAGGAAGAATAAAACAGACAAAAATATTAAAACACACATAAATAAATACATTAAAAAAATTAGTAATAAATAAAGTTGAATAAACAAATAAGGTAATTATAACAAAGGTGAATAAGTAAAGGCACTAATTAAAATATAAACATTTATGTCTCCTTGTATAATTTAATTACTACCTACATTTATTTATTTACTTTATTTTTTTGTGTATTTAATTGGATGCTTATTTATTTATTGAGCATTTATTTATTTCTGTATTTATTTCTGGCTGTGTCAGGATCGGTCCTCCATAACGGGGTGGGAGAGTTATCAAGCACGTAAAGTTTGGTTAAGATGTGAGCATGTACATGAAGTTACAACAACTTCCTGTGTCATGGCGAAGACTTGATCTCTGACGCCACGCCACGGACACACCCATTGACGAAAACTTGCAAATAGCACAACTTTTCATCTTCAATGCCTTTAGAAGGCACAGCTGAAATTTGAGGTCGGTCGGACTAAATCCCTAGGAGGAGTTCGTTAAAGTACGAAGTGTGTAAATCATCCAAAATTTGACGTAAAATTCAAATGGCCGACTTCCTGTTGGGTTTAGGCTATGGCTCCAAGAGGCTTTTTTGTGCGCCTGGACAAGATACACGTACCACAGAAAATTCGTGCACGTAGGTGAAACATGCGGCGGGGGCTGCTTCGTTAAAAGTCACTTCCTGTTGCCAGCAGGTGGCGCTATGACTGTGGGTGAATGTCGGCATGTACATGTGTTCAGGGCGGGACTCTCATCCTACATGTACAGTTTGGTCCAGATGTGAGCATGTACACTGAAGTTACGACAACTTCCGTGTCATGGCGAAGAGCTGATCTTTGACGCCACGCCACGGACACGCCCATTGACGAAAACTTGCAAATAGCACAACTTTTCATCTTCAATGCCTTTAGAAGGCACAGCAAACATTTGAGGTCGGTCGGACTAAATCCCTAGGAGGAGTTCGTTAAAGTACGAAGTGTGTAAATCATCCAAAATTTGACGTAAAATTCAAAATGGCCGACTTCCTGTTGGGTTTAGGCTATGGCTCCAAGAGACTTTTTTGTGCGCCTGGACAAGATACACGTACCACAGAAAATTCGTGCACGTAGGTGAA